CCTCGGCAGAGAGGAGCCCTCAGCCCCGGCACATCCGTCGTGCCTGGCTCCAGCAGCCCTGGGCAGGGAGGGGACTGCAGGGACCGAGCTGAAAGCAGCCGGTCCTGGCACCGTGAGGCTGCCAGAGGACAGAGCCTGCAGCAAGATGCTGGGGTGCCCACGTGTCCCACTGGGGATGGGGACGCGGAGCAGGCTGCTCCTTGCTTCACAGTCACCTGCCTCGCCCGCGTGTGGCCCTTCACAGCACAGTCACGATGTGGCGTGGCACCTCCCTGCCGGGAAACGCCTGGGGATAAGCAAGAGGGTTATGCCCTGAAAATACCCTACACCCCATCCCCGGGGGGAAAGCAGAGCCCCACGATCACCCCACAAACCCTACACCCACTGCCTGCCCTGCAGCACCCAAGCTCAGCCCATCCCAGGGACGGGTGCCGGTGGGTGCCACCGTCCTTCAGTGTGGGGGCTGACGAGAACAATACGCTTAATGAGCGGAGAAGCCCATCACCAATCCCCATTACCAGACTCCCAACTTCATTAGCACAGGAAGGCTGCACGTAATTAAAATAATGAGTTTGCAATTTTACTGCAAACGGTGCTGGAAGAGCCCCGCTGCAGCTGGGCAATCACTGCTGGCAGGCGGCACGGGGTCTCGCAGAGCATCTGCAAGTGGGTCAGGACGGGGAGAGGTGGGTGTCCCCACAGCCCCCCAGGAGCAACTGCCCCCGCTTGGGACCCCTCACCCGGCGGGACCTCCCGCTCTGTCCTCACTGAAGGTGCCAGGGCCAACCCCACCATTCCGAGGGGCACGTCCCGGGGGTACCCCAGCTTTGTTGGCCCTGTAGCTGCAAAAAAAACAAAGTAAGGCAACCAAGGGCCCAATGCATGGTGTTGGCAAAGCCACCATGGCTGTCCTGCGCCCAGACAGTGCCTGTCCCCTCTTCCCCATGGCCAAACCATGGCGCTGCCCATCGCTGCCAGCTCCCTGGGCTCTGCAGGGACATGAGGAGGTGACACTGGGCACATGGTGGTGAGCATCACACCTGCACTGGCACGTCCCAGCCCTGGGAGGTGACAGCCCTACAGACCCCACACGCTCCGCCGTGCCTGGTGCCCCCCACGCCATCACCGCCCAGGCTGAGGTTTTAAACATCTCCAATGAAGTGAGAACTTCATTCTCCCTAATGATGCTGTTGTGTGGTTAATGACGGTGATTAAATTGCCCTGCACAGCGTGCTGCCCCGCGCCTCTGGGCTGCGCTTAAAGGACGAGGGGAGAAGCGAAGGCAGCGCCGGCCGGCAGAGGCTGAGGCCGGATCCTGACTTGTGCTACTGTCCCACGTTGGTCCTTTGGGACCTCCCGGTGATGCCACCAGGTTCGCCATGGTGCTCAGTGCCACATTAATCAGTGGCACATCGCAGACCTCCCTGTCCCTGGCACCCAGTGCCCCTGTCCTGCCCACCCATCAGCCCCAGGAGGGGACAGACTTCATGGCGTCGGGGATGTGCCAGGCACACCACCCTTTCCTGTGTGGGCTTTCTTGTCCTCAGTGTCACAGCCGCTGGCCATAGCCAGGCCACAGCAGGGCATTTCAAGCCACGCCAGAGCTGCTGGCTGTCTGCACAGCATTTAACTCTTTGATGCTCAGCCAGAGACGATTCTGAAACATCCTTGTACACTGCCGGGCACACCACAGCACAGTCACCGGGATGCTCTGCGCACCCCCAGCGCTGCCTCGCACGGATGCTCAAAAGCCATCGGGCCATCGGGAGGTGCTGAGGCCGCGG